ATTCATGCATCCGTGTCAAGAATGAGGCATTATTCTCAGAATCCAGAACTACAGGGGTGGAGCCTGGTTCACAGCCAACCGTGGGGCTTTCGAAGAAATTTACTGGATGGAGAAATTCTACCCTTCCTTCGGGCACGCCATCGCTATAGTGCCCAGTGGCTTGTTCCTTGCTGACGCGGCAGTGGCTTCAGCCCATTTGCACACATCCTAGCGAATTTAGCCCTCAGGATCCTGAGACGCTCGTGACAGCCATGGATTGAACCAAACATTGCACCGATGAACAATATTTCCACTCATCCAGGCACAGAATTTTTCCATCCATGTGTGGAATAATTTTGTTATGTGCGCCAAAGCATGTGTGAAAGTGCACCACCAGTAGAAACATAAACCTGGCTATGGGTGCTCTGTTAATCAGCTGGGTGGCCTTGCAATCACTCCTGAGTTGCTGCACAAGCACACAGCTGACAGGGAACACTGCCTACCAGCGGTGCGGCCAAGGCCCCCAGAGCTGTGGAAGCCCCAACCTTGGGCTTCCATAGAGCTCTGCCTCTCAGTCCTCATCTGGAGTGAGCCGGCTGGTCTGGTGTTTAGCTTTCCTTGTGCTAATAATGGTGCCCAGCCTGTGTCGGGTTGGGGGCTGTGTACAAACGGGGACGAGGCTGAGAATTGCCGGACTCCTGTCAGCATTTGAACCCGAGACTCTACAAGGGGCAGGCTGGTGCCGTCTCACACCAAACCGCCTGCAGCCGTTCCTGCCCCCTGCTGGCAAACTAACGCCTCCCGACTCCGATCACTGGGCTCACAGCAGGCTGAGTTTCCTTGGGACCCTCTTTCCCCTCTGCCGAGATTGTCTGCACCCAGCCATGCAGGAGAGAAGCGGGCAGGACCTGGCGTCTGAAGTTGTTCCCCAGCCAGCCAGAGGGGGAGCTGTGGAGCAGCGCGTCCTGCCCGCCCAGCGCTCCAGCGCAGCATGGTGGGGGAAGAACCTGCTCTTGCTTTGCATGAGGGGGCAGAGTTCCTGTCACAGCCCAGTGGGGTGGAAAAAAACACCGCTCCCCACCCTGAAAGCAGGCCAGGCCGTGTCTTTCCAGCCAAGGCCCGACTGAGACGAGGGCTAGAGGACAATGATCTATCGGAAAATGGCACGCAGATTGGCTGTGTCTACACTGGGCCACTTATTCCAGAAAAGCAGCCGCTTTTCCGGAAAAGCTTGCAAGCTGTCTACACTGGCCGCTTGCTTTTCCGGAAAAGCACTGACGATCTACTGTAAAATTGTCAGTGTTTTTCCCGAAAAACTATGCTGCTCCTGTTCGGGCAAAAGTCCTTTTCCAGAAAAACGATTCCGGAAACGGGCCAGTGTAGACAGCCCAGATTTCTTTTCCGCAAAAAAGCGATTGGGGCTTTTTTGCGGAAAAGCACGTCTACATTGGCACGGACGCTTTTCCGGAAAAAGTGCTTTTCCGGAAAAGCATCCTGCCAATGTAGCCGCGCTTTTTCCGGAAATACTTATAACAGAAAACTGTTCCGTTTTAAGCATTTCCGGAAAAGGGTGCCAGTGTCGACACAGCCATTGTGCTCCGCAATTTGCCTACCTTTTTTCGATAGTTTTTTTCAGAAGACGCTTTTCTGAAATTTGGCCCCTCTACACTGGGCCAAATTTTGGGAAATTCTTCTCTTTTGGAAGATCCCTTCTTCCTCGTGGAAGGAGGAAGACGGGGCTGCTGAAAGAGAGCGTCTGCTCTGCTGCAAAAAAGAGCAGAAGAGCAGACGTGTTCCCTGGCCGCAATGGAGTTTTTTCGGGATATCCCCAAAACACTCCATGGGCTAGACGTACCCGGAGCCACGTGGGCTTGCAAAAGCCAGCGCTGCTTGCAAAGTGAGCACCTGCTTCTTCTGCGCTGCCCAGGCCCCTCCCCTGGCCCTGGTGCGGCCCGGCCCCGCCGGTTAATGACTGCAACACCTCAAAGCAAACCAGCTCTCCAGCTCTGTTGCCATGCAAGGCACCCTGGGGACCGTGTACAACCCAGAGCTGGCTGCTCCCACGTGCCCGAGCTCCACGCTGCACCTGCGACCGGGGCTGCATTGGGTGGGGACCAGACAGACAGTGCACTGGGGACCAGGGTGTGAAGGGAGACACTCAGGGAACAGCAGCTGGTATCAACCACCTCGTCCCTCCCCGAATGAGCTGCAAGGCCCATGGCGTGGTCTCTGCTCTCCAGAGATATCCATGGCTCATTTTTGCGGATACACCTGCAGCAGCGCATACAAATGTTGTATGTACGCAGGGCTCTACCCATGGGGAACCCTTCGTCAGCATCCCCTTTATGACACCCTTTTACATATTTGAAGACTGTTATCAGCCCCCCCTTCTCTTCTTTAGACTAACATGTCCTAGTCCAGTGTCTGTGGGCACCATGGTGCCCACCGGGGCATTTATGCGGGCACGCCGCATGATCTGGGCTGGCCCCACCCCCAGCGCGTGGCACATGCACGGTGCCGGCCCTGAGCGCGTGGCGCATGGGCGGCACTGCCCTGGGTGCACGGCACATGTGCGGTGCTGGCCCCAGACGCATGGCACATGGGCAGCCCCACCCCCGGACATGCGGCACATGAGCGGCCCCACCTCTGGGCACCCAGCAGTCCCAAAAGGTTGGGGACCACTGTACCTAGTCTGTCCTTCTTTCCTCTCGGATCTGTCCACACCTTTCCTAAAGTACAGCACCCAAAATTGGATACCGTAGGCCAGCTGCTGCCAAGCAGAGCATGACAATTACAGCCTCTCTCACATACAACACACAAGGCCGGCTGTTGATACACCCCAAAATGACATCTGCCTTTTTTTTTGCAACAGTATTACATTGTTGAGTCATGGTTGATTTGTGAACCCCTATAACTCCCGGTTCTTTGGGCAATGCTATGACCTAGCTCCCATTTTGTAGCTGCGCATTCGATTTTTCCTTCCTACGCCCAGTAGTTGGCTCTTGTCTTTATCGAGCTTCCTTGTGCAGAATTCAGACCCGGTCTCCAATTTATCAAGCGTGGTTTGAATTCTCAGCCTCTCCTCCAAAGTGCTTGCAACCCCGCCCAGGTTGGTGTCCTCCACACATTTCACAAGTGTAAACTCTAGTTCACCACCCAAGTCGCTAACGAAAATATTGAATAGTACCAGGCCCGGGGCAGACCCGTAGGACGTCCTCGCAGTTTGACAGTCAACCACTCACAATGACTTGTTGGTTTTTCAACAGCTGCGCACCCCACGCCCCCGGCAGGAATTTCACCCACCCTCCATTTCCCTAGTTTGCTGTTTGCAGTTGGGGGCCCATTGTACAAACAGGTAGGAGATGGTTTCTGACCAGAAGAGTTTTCCATAAAGCCAAAGGGCGGGTGGGGAGAAGGGAAGAGAGACCCAGAGCAATTGGCTGATTTGTCCCTTGTTACAAAGGGAGCCTCCCACAGCGCAACCAACTGAAGCCCACATCTATGGGAACCTACTTCCGTGCCTAGTCCCCAAACCCATCCTGTCTCTCCCTTGGGCTAAGTCTACCCTGGCATCACATAGTGCGGTAACTTCCTGGCTTAGGGGTCTGAAAACACCCCCCTCCCCAGCATCACAAGATCCAGCGCTGAAAAGCACCAGCGTGAATCAGGCTACTCCCCTCGTGGATGTGGCTCACAGAGAGCGCTGGGAGCGACTCCCCTCGTGGACGTAGCTCACAGAGAGCGCTGGGAGCGACTCGCCTCGGGGACGTGGCTCACAGAGAGTGCTGGGAGCGACTCCCCTCGTGGACGTAGCTCACAGAGAGCGCTGGGAGCGACTCGCCTCGGGGACGTGGCTCACAGAGAGTGCTGGGAGCGACTCCCCTCGTGGACGTAGCTCACAGAGAGCGCTGGGAGCGACTCGCCTCGGGGACGTGGCTCACAGAGAGTGCTGGGAGCGACTCCCCTCGTGGACGTAGCTCACAGAGAGCGCTGGGAGCGACTCGCCTCGGGGACGTGGCTCACAGAGAGTGCTGGGAGCGACTCCCCTCGTGGACGTAGCTCACAGAGAGCGCTGGGAGCGACTCGCCTCGGGGACGTGGCTCACAGAGAGCGCTGGGAGCTACTCCCCTCGTGGATGTGGATCACTGAGAGCTCTGGGAGTGACTCCACTCGTGGACGTGGCTCACAGGGAGCGCTGGGAGCGACTCCCCTCACAAGGAGTGCTGGGAGAGCTCACTCTGGGGCCATGCTCTCAGCTGAAAGCAGGGCTACAGACGCGCTTTACTCGTAATGTGTAGACAGAGCCTCGGTCGTACGTAACCTGGAGAAGCCTGACGCCTGCTCTGTGTAGTCAGCCCACGGCCAGGCCAGGTCTCTTTGCAGACGTACCAGGGGATCCCCCTCACCCAACAGGCATGGCTGGAGCTGGAGCTCCTCCCCTGGAGCAGCACCAGGCCCCCTTTGCAGAGGACTGAGCTGCTCTGAGGGCCAGATCCGTCCCCCAGTAAAGTCCCTAGGCTGTCTGGCCACGGGCGTCAACGCGGCTAGGGCTGGTAATGGCAAGCAATGCCTCCTACTTCTCCCAGCCCACGGAGAGGGGTAGGGGCCAGCCCGTCCACCCCACAGATGCTAGCAGCTTGGGCTGGACACTGCGCCCTGCAATGCCCTCAGGGCGTACTCGTCTCTGTGGGCCACCGCCTCCCACGCACAGGCTAACTCTGCACTCCACGCGAGCCCTTCCTGTGGCACAGAGGGTGGCTGGCGCTGTCTAGTTCTGGCTTCAGGCCAGCCCCAGCTTCTGGGCCAGTACGTTTCAGAGGCCTCATCCGCTCCCAGCTCCTTAGCCCTCCCTCCCACAGGATCCTCCAGCAAGCGGCTGGACTCCTACGAGGGCTCGGCATGGCCACGCTGTGCTTGGGGCACCTGCCTGAGCCGCTCCCAGGAGGCAGATGCCTGCACCCCTGTGTCTGGTGAAGCCCGTCTCCCAGGGAAACCTGGAGTCCCTCAGGGGGCCAAGGTACCTTCAGCGTGTCCCCCTTGCGGAAGGGCAGCTCGTCCTTTTCCGTCGCCTGGAAGCTGTACAAAGCCACGGACTCCATCCTGTGCCGGAGCAGCCAGGCTCCCTTCGCTCTCCGGCTCCGCAGGGCTCCCGGCAGCCGTCCCCGTCTCTCGCCTTCTGCACCTGCCTGGGCAGCCGGGGCGCAAAGAGACGGCTGCGGAAGGGCGGGGGCAGGCAAAGACCTGGGGGCTGCTCTGAGCAAGGCTCAGGCAGAGGCAAGAAAGCCCTTGGCTTCCTGTTTCTCAGCTCGGGCGCGCAGGCAGGCACTGTCGCTTTGATTTTTTTTTTTTTAGTTTTGTTTGTTTCATTTGTTACTTGAGTGAGAGATTCTTCCTGGCAAGAAAGGAGGCAGGAAGCCACTTGGCGGTCGTTGGACGGGCCAGGGAGGGATCCCGGCCTCTGGCGGGAAGGGGAGCGGTTATGTGGGAACTGATGCCCTTGGAGGTTGGGAGATGGGGAAAATGTTCTGCGGAAGAGAGCATGGGTAGAGAGTGAGACTGAGAATCAGGGCTCCTGAGGCCCTTCCCTGGCTCTCCTGCTGCTTCAGAGCATGGGCCAAAGCCCATGGAAAGCACGGGAAAGATTCGGAGTAATGTCATCGGGCACTGAAGCAGCTCGGTGTGCAGATACAGGGCAGCCAACTGTGCCTCAGTTTACCTTTCTGTAAAGTCAGGTGATGGCAGCGATCAACAATCCCTCGCAGGCAGGGGAACGGGGGGAAGGCTGCAAGTTTGTAATGAGCTTTGACATCCTCAGGGGAAAGTTCTTAAGGTATGTCTACATGGTATGCTTAAATTAAGCACACGAGATCTGTTATAGGGGAAAAGGCAGTACGCCACATTCATTCAGAATACAACAGTTGCATATGCTTTTCAATCACACACGCACACAAAACATCATGTATACACAATCCTGCCAGATGATGTCCTAGTTACCAGTCCAGAGTCTGTGTCAATCTAGTGGCCAGCTAGATCGAACACAGGGCGGAGCAGGGCCTTTGTCGGTCATGATCCGATGCTCTTCTGGGGATGGTGGCAGACGAACCCAAAGTTCCATAGCAAAGCACCCTGCTTTTAGAATCCTTTTCTCTGTTGAAATCCATGGATTCCGCTCTGGCAGCTTTCAATCCGAACAGACACAGCAGGGCAAAAGGCGAATGGAGCTACGCAACTTCAGCTACGTCAATTGCGTAGCTGAAGTCGAAATCCCCACCTCCCCCCCATAAAATATACAAAGTTTAAAGCAATTCCCTGCTACAGCAGTTCCTAACTAGGGGTGTTAAATAGTGGTTGAGCAATCAACCGGTAAAACAAAACGTTTAACCAGTTAATCATGATCCCACGGAGTGGGCTGCCTGGCCGGGGCAAGTGGACCAGGGTCAGGCAGCCCACTCCATGGGATCATGATTAACTGGTTAAATGCTTTGTTTTACCGGTTGATTGTTCAACCACTATTTAACACCCCTAGTTAGGAACTGCTGTAGCAGGGAATTGCTTTAAACTTTGTATATTTTATGGGGGGGAGGTGGGGATTTTGGCTTTTCTTTTGCTGTTTGATGAGAATCAGCCCAGACTGTAAGGAGGGTGCAACCACACTTACGACCACATTGCAATTGCGTTTTTTCGGCAGAAAGTTGAAAGAATGCAGAGATTTTTCCAACAGCAGTAAACCCCTTTCTACGAGGAAGAAGCCTTTTTCCAAAAGAGCTTTTTTGGAAAAAGGCATGTGTGGATGGGGAAGGAGGGTTTTTTTTTTTTTTAAAGAAGAGGCCTTCAGGAAAAAGCACAGGTGCCCTGGTGGCCAGTCTGTCCATAGTAATCACAACTTAAACACGAGAGAGCATCCATTCCGTGTGGACGCTATCTTTCAAAAAAGCAGATCGCTTTTTCGATGCGCTTTGGCAGTGTGGACGCTCTCTTTCGAAAGACGTTTTTCTGGAAGATCTCTTCCGGAAAAGCTTCTTCCAAAAGAAACCTGCAGTCTGGACGTAGCTTGAGGGAAGAACCCTGAGGAGAGGGGAAACGAACAGCAGGTGGCTGCAGAGCCACCCCTGGCCACAAGGGGCTGCTCTTGGAAGTGGTGACCCATTTTACAGACCTGATGCAAAGCACATTCAAGATGAGGCAAAAACTCAATGTGCTGAGAGCGTAAGCAGCAGCATCTTCTAGGAGAGAATTTGTTGGAGGCAGAGCAACACATCAACAGCTCACGAGCACGTTAGACACGCACAGATGTTAATGTTGATTTTTTTTTTCATTTCAATGTCCAGCCCTCAGTTTGCATTTGCAATGTTTGGGGGTTTTTTTACATTTTATTTCCTTAGTTAACTTGTGTTTCCTGTGTGAAAAAAGGCCAGGAGGTTACACAGGAAACAAGACCAGTTTTGTGATTACTAATGGCAGCCATAAGTTATGGCTGCATCTGGAGGACTCAGATGAGATCGGGGCTTGGTGTGCTAGCTTTTACGGTTTTCCCAGGATCGTCCCTCGATTGAGGCAGTGGTGCTGGGGAGGCTAAAAGGGTGCTCAGGGCAGCCTGCCAGCTCCCTGGCTTTTGGGCTCAGGATCATTCTGGGTGTCCCATTTTTTTGGGACCTCAAAGAGGGGAGCCCCTCCACACATAATCTGCCTGAGCCTGCCTCCACAGAAGTCAGAGGCAGAGCTCTCATCGACTTCCATAGAGAAGGATCGGGCCTGTTGTGAGGCATAGTCTCTGCCCCCAAAGAATTTATAACCATACAGCTGACACAAAGGGTGAGAGCAATGTTACGGGGGGGCCCTCAGAAGGATATGGGAAGCGAGCCCCAATATTAACAGGACTGCAAGCCCAATATAGTTGCCTTGCTCTGAAAAAGGCAGGAGTCATTCACACAGCTAGTCACTTATTCTGGGAGTTTATCCCTCTTTTTTTTTGTCGTGGACGGGGCAAGGCGGATGGTGTGTTCTTCCCACTTCACCAATTTCTAGTTGGATTTTTTTTAAAACCCTGGGGAGCAGCTGTGAATCGAAGCTTGTCATTGGCTCTCATTTTGCTTGCAGGTGATTGGCTAGACAAACCATCCGGGACTTTTTCCTGTTCCCCAATTGGATGAGAGCATGAATGTAACTCGAGTAGTGTTTCTTAAACGGTGTTCCGCGGCACACTGCTGTGCTGTGAGGCAGTTGGAGGTGTGCCGCGGAGAACAACAGAATTCAAAATGGCTGCCCTTAAAGGGGCAGGTGACTTTTTTTTTTGGTCAATAATTTCCCCCCGGCCCTTTTTTCCTCAATAACTTTCCCCCTGACCCTTTTTTTTTCCACTCAACGAAAAAATCCTTGGTGTTCTCCATAAAATTTTTTTATTGTTTGGTGTTCCTCGATCTTAAAAAGTTTAAGAAACACTGAACTAGAGTGTACAAGCAGAACAATTCCTGCCCAGGGAACCCAGAAGGGGGCAGCAGGAACAAAGTTGGTATCTTGGGAAAAAATGCTCCTTATGCCCATGCTCCCTGCCCAGGCTGTGTGAGGAGCAGGGCCCGTCTCTGAAGCCTGGGCAAGCTGCAGTAGCTTTGGCTGAGCCCCCCCCCCAAGTGGGTGCATGGGGTTTGTGGGGGGATTGCTGGGGTGCTGCAGGCTGCAGGGACTCTCAGCCTGGCTGGCGGCTCCCAGGGAAGAAGGAAATAATATTTACCTCTTGTTTTCTCCCTGTCTGGCACCATTCCAGGAAGCATTTCCTGCAAACAGTGGGAACATTTGCTCAGGGCCAGGACAAAGGAAGTGAGGGGGTTGGCGAGGCGTCGAGCAGGATGAGCATGGCACGGGGGTGTGATGCTGGAGAAGGATGAGTCAGGGTGAAAGGTAAACAGCTGGCTTGTGCCCGCCCCTGCTGCTACGCCTGAGAAACTCCAACTATGTGTTTTCCTGGTGCCTGCTGAGGATTCGGGCAGGGTTACCCCGCCCTCACATTTTGCAGAGGGGGAAACCGAGGCACAGAGCCACGGAGCGACTTGCCCACGGCTACAGAGAAAATCAGGCCCTGAGGTCGGGCGATTCTGCGTCACACCCCATGCTGAGTCATGCCCGCTCTTCTCTGCTTCCTCTTCAGGCTGCGGCTGTTGTCTGGGTCACCCTGGCATCGCCCCAGTGATGGGCGATAGCAGGGCAGGTTGTGGGCGCGGGGGGGAGGGCTTTGGCCTGGCTGAAGGGAGGACAGGAAGCTTGCATTATCCGATGTCTTCACTCTCCAGGACTGGGAATCTCCAGGCAGCTTAGCGAGAAGACTCCCTTTGGGGCCAGCTGTCACCTAGAGGCCACCACGTTCCTTTGTTCTAGCGTAGGGTGCGCAGCACCGGCGTTTAAAACCCTGGCTTAAGTACTGATCCCTTTGTCCCAGTTGTCCTAGTCAAGAGGCTTTAGGTCGGGGAACCTAAGGCCCCACAGCATCCCCCCATGGAGTTGGCGCACACAAAATCTACTAGCCTGGCCGCCCAGGCTCTGGTGTGTGAGGGGAATGTGGGGAGCCACGTTCCCCACCCTGGCTTTCGATCATCCACAGGCGTTGCTGGACCTGGAGCCCCGCTGCTGCTCTCTGTTGGCCTTGAGCAAAGTGCTGTACAAGGCCGCCTCAAGGCTGTGACGCAATTTCCCTGCCGCTCTTTTGAGCCAGGGCTCAGCGGAAGCACCTGGAACAGGCCGAAAGCCTGAGGGGTAGGCAGGCCATTGTATCGGTGGGGGCAGGGAGGCCAAGGTGAACCTAATCCCCCCCTCCCCACACTGTTCCTTGTAACCCAAATCCCTCAGCAGGGGGAAGTCCAGCTCTCCGTGACACGTCTAAGGCAGTGTTTCTCAACCTTTTAAAAAAATTAATAAATATATAACATAAATTATAAGTACCCCCAGGACCTACAGTTTTCAGACACGCACATTTTTTGTCTACCATTACAACACATTTGTTTAAACAACTTGGCTGTGTCTAGACTGGCAAGTTTTTCCACAAAATCAGCTGCTTTTGCGGTAAAACTTGCCAGCTGTCTACACTGGCGGCTTGAATTTCCGCAAGAGCACTGACTTCCTACTGTCTGAAATCAGTGCTTCTTGCGGAAATACTATGCTGCTCCCGTTCGGGCAAAAGCCCTCTTGAGCAAATCATTTGCACAAG